AGTTTTCCTATTAAGCATGAGAAGGCATGGCTGCTCTACTCCATTAGATCCTTAAGGAGGATGACACGAGCATTTAGAATAATAGGATCCCCCAATTCCCTAGGGGCATCCTCCGATCGTTCCTTGACATTATCGACGTTGATGTGGATGACCTCGGTAGCGACCTACTTGGTTGCCCTGACCTCCTCTTTGACAACTTGAGAGGAGTTATCCTTTGCTACCTTCCTCTTTTTCCTTCTCAGGGTGTCAAAGACTCTAGTGGTGCTCATGTGCGACATTTCACCTAAAAAAGACAAAGCACCTATTAAACAACCAACCGAGGTGAAAGACAAATGAAGAAAAACTAAGTGTGGAGGAATGACCTACCTACTAGACTAAGCCGACTCGAATCAACATCTCCTTAGCCATGAAGTCCCCAACTTGTAACTTTTTGTTAACTAGGTTTTGTATTTAGGCCTTTAGGGCTCATCCAAGGTTTCCTCTCCTAGGTCAAGTATGGTTGTTCTCCACTCTATGATAAAGGGTCATATTCCCCAAAAGTCGATACGTAAAAGAACTTCCTCTTCCAGTCTGGCACCTTGAAAGGGAAGCCATGCAATAGTTTGAGCCCAGAGCGGTAGGACAAATAAAAGAATCTTTCCTGACTGAACTGTTTCTTTATTTGATAGAGGACGGTGAAGGTTTTAAGGTTTAGGGGAAGGTTGAATCAATGACAAGATGGCATTGTGCTGGTCAAGATCCTCACAAAATTCAAATGAAGCTAACCTAGGGTTTGTCTTAGTAACTAAGAACCTTGGGGATGAAGGTGTGGAAGGGAAACCTGAGACCGACCAGCAAGACTTGCTCGAAAACATAGACTTCATCCTCGCCGTGTTTTGAATGACACAAGTCAGAATTAGGGAGAAGGATTGCAAACTCCTCAAGAATCTAGTACCACTCCAAAATCTGCTAGAGATCGAAGGGGGTTAGCCGAGTTCTATTGAACTCAGACTTCCTTTTGCTAGAGGTTGAGGCCCCTTGATGGGAGCAACAGTTTGCTTTTCTCCCTTAGACTCGGAGCTCGACATATTTTAACAAATGGAAAAAGGGAAGAAAGGGAAGACTCACCTGAAGAAGGTTAGGACTAACCGACCTGACTCTGGCTATCCAACACTACCGACCTCTCCAAACTCTTTGATCTCGCTTCAAGCAACTTTGCAAGGAGACAAGTGATGAATGGACCCCTGACTCTGGTATTTATGGACAAGAACCCTGAATCATCAACAACTGAGGTCCATTCAATACAATGGCTCAAAGGGGCGTGACTTTTCATCTTTCAAGGTTAGTCGGTTTCAAACTCACGTGAAGTCTGCGAATACGTGCCACACGACTTGTCAGATGGCTCCAGACTAGTGAACCAAACCCAACATGGATCCATGAACCCGACCTCGAAGCGTCTGACAGAGACCATCCCAAACTAGGCTACTCCCTTTGCTCAAATTGTTCACCTCAAGCTTGGAAGCAAGGGCAATTGTCGTGTTGCAACCCGACAACCGTTTCTTGGCCCCTCGGCAACACACCTGGCAAGATGCTGGTTGTATGCTCCTCAATATATTAGCGTACATAATCTAAACAAGCTGAGACCTCGCTATAGAGCACATCAGTAGATCGGCATTTAGGCCCAAAACACATGACCACTCTGACTACTCTACGCTCCTAACCTACGTTTCCGACTTGGACCACCCACGACCCGACCTGGTGGCACATCCTTCTCCTTATCGACTCACGCTGGATAACAGCTCCGAGACATCAAGGACTTGATTGAATGTCCTTGCTATAGAGCATCAAGGACGTCTGACCCACATGGCACGTCCTTCCCCTTATCAACTCACACCGGATAACACCTTCGAAACATACATTGATATGACACCCACCTGGCGGCATTATATCTACTTTGCGAGGAACCAAATAAGGACAACCACGGTGCCGTGTGAGCGTATCCCGCAAGCAATAGATTAATGAGCACTAATGCACCGCATGTGTTGGTGGACACTCTACAAGTACTCTCTTGGTATGGTTCTTGCTCGGTTATTTTCCATCACCTTGTCAGCTTGATGCTTACTTAATAGATTGATTTCCTTGCCTGGATCACTCCCCCGGGCCCTCTGATGTTCTATCTTGTAGATCCAATAGCAACCCTATCACTGCCAGTAGGGACTCACGTTTTGACCATCATATTAAAATTTTGATAATAAAAATGAAAGAAAATATTAAGTTATTTATATGTTAATAAAATAAACATTTTTAACCTAACACTATTTATAAAATTTATCATTTCAAACATAAAATATAAGAAAATGATAAATAAATTTAATAATAGGCAAGAAATGGAACCGACTCAGTTATTAATCACGACAAACTCATGAAACCAGAATATGTGTGGAATAGCCCCAACCCATTGAAAATCCTAGATCTCATTATTCGTAAACATTTTGAATTGGATCCAGATTTTAATAGGTATATATGGTCGTTCTCTAGAGTCTCCCTGGATTTTTTTTGCTATGAAAGTAAGAAGTTGACAACAAACAAATTTTGTTCTCGACTGTTTTTAGGTTAAACCTTATTGTCATGGTTGGAAACAAGATTTACCATGTGGTCTATCAACTTTGCCTCCAATTTTGGGTATTCAAAGTGGTGATGAAGTTGTAGTTGTCAAAGGTAGTTTGAACGCGAGGCTGTGTTCGGTTGTAATGCAATTTTATTTGCATTAGTACAAATGTATGGGGTGCAAATGGAAAAAAAATGCAGATTTTGGTTTAATTTTGTTTTGGATTTTACTTTATTCTATTTTAATTTGGGTCTAATATTTACTTCATTTTTACTACAACCAAACAAAGTAAGGTAAAATTTGAAACAAATATCTATATTATTATAAAAAGTACGAATGAAGGTGTGGAACTTTTCTTGACTAAAGTGGCCACATTTGTTATTTAGTCCATCTCTAATAATGAAGGTTGAATCTCATTTAATCCCCCTTCATTAACTCTTGTATTTAAGGTATTAACTCACATTCTCTCTTACTAAATCCCATATTTAAGTTAATTTTCACCAATAAATACTATTAATTATATCTATATCCAATACATTTAATAATACAAAATCCATATATTTTAAAACTTACTCCAAAACAACCATTCTTTATCCAAGTGATGACTAAGCAATTCAACTATCCGAATCAAATTGGCTAATCCATGAAGTCATAGTTAGATAATGAAATTTTTAAATAGAAATGAATATAGAAAAATGCAAAGTGTAGAAAAAATAGACACATTTATGATATTTCTTTATTAACCAAATTAAAAAACAAGTGTAATAAACAAGAATTATTTTTATTGAAGGTGAAAATGAAATACATAATCTAAAACTAACCAAAAATGAAATTATTTTCCTCTTAAGCAGAGATCAATAATTCAACTTTTTGTCAAATCTGTCAACCTTTAATGTCATAATTAAATAATAATGAAAATTAATAAAATATAAAAAACACAAAAACAAAAAAAAAATACATAAATTTTACAAAAAAAAATATTTGGGCACATGAATAATATCCTATATTTATTATATTAAACAAAAAATAAGTATAAATAACAATATTATTTTACACACATAGAAATAAAAAAAAATTATAGAAAAAGTTGAACACATCTATAACTCCATATTTACACTACTATTAAAAATATGAATCAGATTGTGGAGCTTTCTTTCTGTCTAAAATACCCATTTTTGACTTTAATCCCTATTTAATTGTGATGTTTAAAATGTAGTTTGAACTACAGTTTTCACTTAATTCAATTCCCACTCTTTAAATCTTACATTTTTTGATAAATGAACAAAAATGAAATATACAATAAGAAGATAAAGCATTACAAAAAGAAAAGTCTAGTCAAGTGGGTAGGCCTCTGAATGATACCCAAAACTTTCAGCCCAATATGAGGTGCTTACCTAATTAGATTCAGATTTTGCAATCTGCATCCGATTCATAGTGAAGAACAAAAAAATATAAAAATAAAAATACACGAATTTTATATTAAATTTTGGACATATTATTTCTATCATTATCATCACCTAGAATTAGTCAAACAAACTGTACAATCAAATTATTTGTACTATCATAATTTTGCATCGATGCAAATTTGCATTGCAACCAAACATAGCATGGGGAATATACAAGAAAAAAATTCAATCTCGATTTGGATTTTATACTGTCTATGATCCGACTGTGATAAAGGAAAAATATATCACTTAAAAACCCAAATCCATCAATTGATGATATTCATCAAAATTCACGGGGAACTTGTGTAACTTGCAGCAACGCCCAACAATGCCTTGTAGAGGTCAACAAGGTCAACCATTTTTACATAAATCCGGTTCGATCATTTCACTGTTCAATCGTAACTCTGCAGTCCTCACAAAACTGTGTTCACAAATATTGGGAATATCTCAATTTATTCATGGGAGTTGGGAGATATTCGTAATGCACAGCTGCAAGTGTAGATTCTGATGTGAGGACTGAATCCGATCTCGTTCAATCGATGCTGGCGCTACCCATTATTGAATGCGTCAATGCGTCCATTACATAAACTTTTATTAATTTATTGACGGTATCTGTCATTCGACGATATAAAATACAGGTGTAAATTCGCTTCGTAGGTAACACTATAATAAATAAATAATGAACGAACTTTGTTTGTTTACTTGTTTTCAATTTTTACTGTTATATATGTTAAAGCAACATTGGCGAAGAATTTTCTAGGACCGTTCGGTGAAGGCTCTGCTAATTAATTTCTAACGGCCCACAGCGTCGTGCATTACTTTCCATTCAATGTTTTATCTTTCTGTAGTGAATTAGTGCTGTTCTGGTCTGAAGTCTGAACTGCAAACTTAATTTGAAGATGAAGCATATAATATTAATACAATCTTTAGGCTGATGAGATTAATGGCAATTGGTACTCCCAGAAACCATGGCAGAGGCACTGGTTTCATCTGTTGTTTCAAGCGTGAAACCCTTGCTTCAAAGAGAGGCAGGCCTAGTGTTTTCAGCTCGTCAAGAGCTGGAAAAGTTGTCCAGCGCTTTTTCATCCATTCAAGCCAACCTCAATGATGCAGAGAGGAAAAAAGTGAAGGAAGAGGCAGTGAGAGACTGGTTACAAAAGCTGAAAGACGTAGCCTATGACGTGGATGACTTGTTGGATGAGTGGCAAACGGAAGTCATCAGGTCGACTGAAAGTTGGAGTCGGGTTCCAGATTTTGTGAAGCAGGTATGCAACCTCTTCCTACGTTGTTTTTGTATTGATGATCAAACCGACCAAGCTGTAGTTCATTTTAAAATGGGTATATCCAGGGGGCATAGGATAAAGAAGATAATAGAAAGATTAGATGTGATTTCCAGAGAGAAGATCAATTTTCAATTACGAGTTCTTTTGTAGATCATTTGAAGGTCTGTGGTAGGGATAGTGATAAAGAGTGCATAAAGGAGCTTTTGTTTTGCGAGAGTAGTAGCCGAACGGATTCCAGCACATTCCCAGTAGTCATTCCTATAGTTGGCATGGGGGGCCTGGGAAAGACCACTCTAGCCCAAGAAATATACAACGACGGAAAAGTGGTAAGCCATTTCCAATTGAGAATCTGGGTTCATGTGTCGGAGAATTTTGACGTGAAAAGAATTACAGAAGCAATTATAAACGACGTCACCGGGGATAATTGTGGGGGTCAGTTGAACCGGCTTCAGAAAGAGTTACGCAAAAGGGTAAAGAATAAGCGATTTCTTCTGGTGCTGGACGATGTGTGGAATCCAGATGATGACAAGTGGAAAAAATTGAAGCTCCCCCTGAAAGACTGTAAACAAGGAAGTAGGATTTTAGTCACAACTCGCTCCAAGAACACTGCAGCCATAATGGGTACAAATACAACCTCCGGATCCGCATATAATTTGCAGCCATTATCTGAGAATCATTGCTTGTCCCTGTTTAAAAAAATAGCCTTTGAAGGAGAAGAAAAGAAGGGCCATAAGGAATTCGAAGACATTGCTGAAGCCATCGCAAAGAAATGCGGAGGCGTGCCTTTGGCGATTAAGACCGTAGCAAGTCTGCTGAAATCCAAAAATAAGAAAACTGATTGGAAACACATCTTGAATAGTGAGATATGGGATTTTCCAGAGGTTGAAGATGGTATTTTTCCAGCACTCTCTTTGAGTTACTACGATTTGCCGCCTCTTCTGAAGCCTTGCTTTTCGTATTTGGCCATTTTCCCAAAAGATTACGAAATAGAGAAGGACAAGCTAATCAAGTTATGGATGGCAAACGGGTATATTAGGTCCGATCGACAACAAAAAGATATGGAGATAATAGGTGGAGAATATTTTGACAGTTTATTGGAGCGTTCATTACTTGAAGCTGTACAACAAGATCACGACGGCAACGTTGTTCGGTGCAAGATGAATGATCTCGTTCACAAGCTAGCCCAGTTTGTTGCTAAAGGTGAGTTTCTGATTATCGAGATGGGAGATCAGTCTCATCTCAAAATCGATGCCCGGCATTCCTCGCTTCTGGTTAGGCATCAGATGGAGAAATTTGTACAATTGCAACCAGTAGTTAGTTTACGTAGTCTTCTGTTCATTGTCTTCTCAAACATGAAGGTTCCGCATCCACCAGATCTATTTGACCATACCAGATCCCTTAGGGTGATGGATTTGAGCCACACTAAAATCGAGGAATTGCCAGCTTCATTGGGGAAATTGAAACACATTAGATATCTTGATTTCTCCTTCACATATATAAAAGAGCTACCGGAATCTGTGGGTAGCCTATTTAATTTGCAGACGTTGAAGCTTAATGAGTGCATATATCTATGTAGATTGCCTCAAGGAATGGTTCAAATGTGTAATCTCAGGCATTTAGAACTTGAAGGAACCGAGGAAATCAACTACCTGCCCAAAGGATTAATAGAGAAACTGGGTGTCTTTGCAACATTGTCGAGGTTCATCGTGGGTAGTGCATGTAAGATTGGAGAACTGAAACATCTTAATCTGGTGCGGGGCAAACTGAGAATAGAAAAATTGGAGAGAGTGGAGAACAGGGAGGAAGCCAGGGAGGCAGAACTGAAAAATAAGCAATACCTTGATGCTCTGGTCTTATGCTGTACAGATAAACGCGATGACGGGGAATGGACAGCGGTGGATAGGAAGGAAGTGGAGCGGATGGAAGGCGTGTTTGAAGGGCTCAGACCTCATACAAACTTGAAGGAATTGGAGATATTCAGCTACATTGGTTACGAGTTCCCTAGTTGGATGAAAGATTCCTCGTTCCAAAATTTAACCAAGGTTGCTCTGTATTACTGCAACAAGTGTAAGCAATTGCCAGCGCTTGGAAGACTCCCGTCACTTGAAGAATTATATATATGGAGAATGGAAGATTTAAAAATAATCGGTGACGAGTTTTATGGGGACGGGGATGGTGGGATTAAGGGATTTCGGAGGCTGAAGAAATTAACATTTGCGTTTCTGCGGAATTGGGAGGTGTGGGATTTGGGAGAGGACGAGATGCCATCTCTACTCGCGTTGATAATCATGGATTGCCATAAGCTCAAGGAATTGCCGAAAGTCTTCCCCGGTGGACTCAGCTCTCTAAACATCAGCGGATGTGCAGAATTGAAATCCCTTTCCGATGGGTTGCGACGACTTCATTCACTCAAGACTCTCGACATTTACGGCTGTGTACAATTAAAAGATTTGCCCGATTTACGACCATCAACCAAGCTTGAAGAATTGAACATCAAAGACTGCCCATTTTTGTCGAGCAAAAATAACAACGAAGGGGAGGAATGGCTCAAGATAGCACATGTTCGTCGAATCTGTATTGAAGGCAAGCAACTTCAAAAGGCAAGCTCTCTCTCTCTCTCTCTCTCAAAATACAGAATTACAGATCCATTGTTGTTGAATTGCTGAGGCTAATTGCTCATCCCCGTTGGCATTCTAGATTAAGCATTAAAAAGTGTCTCATACTGTGCACTAATTGTTCTGGATTCATTGTTGGCTTACTGTGGTCTGTGGGCAGTGGCATTTCTCATATCCCAAATAAGCCTGAATAAAATTAAGAATTTTTCGATGAATTTTCTCTTTGCTTAGGTCCTTTAGCTTTAAATCTATCCAGTCCATCATGAAGTCATGGAAAGACTTATTTTGGATTTGTTCTGGGTTTATACCCATATCAGAAGCAATCCAAACAGCTCTATCTTGCATAGTTACAGGTGAAAACAAGCAAAAGACTTGCATAAACAATGAATTTATGCAACTCTTAGATTTCTTTATCATTCTATAGACATTTTTCACTAGCATGAAGTATCCGTTTTTGGTACGTTTACACATTCAAATTGTATCTTTGACCCAAAAATCTTGCTTAATAAGCAAGATTACCAAACAAGTTCTCAATGTGATTTGCTGCTCGCAGTTGTCTGCATCAGCAGAGGTCCAGTAAGGAGCAGCAGATGAAGAAGTAGGAAGAGAAGAGGAACAAAGAACACAGTAATACAAATTGAAAGAAGATGAAAGCTACTGCTGGAGACCCGTATAAATCGATCTCTTGCTTCTTGATGAATTCTGCCTTCTCCAATTACGTTTGCCTCTAAAATCAAACATTGTTATATTATATTTTGTGTCTTTGTATTTAAGCTAAAGAGACTTATGGTGTGGTATTTTGTTGTACTTTGAAAGATCAGCCTCGGCTAGCATGCTTTGACCGGTAATATATTCTCTAAACAAATTTACTTCTACAGCATTGGACAGGAAAGTTGTACCACTAGCAAACATTATAAAGCTTAACAAAAGCAACAAAAAAAATCGAGGGGGAAGCAATTTTCCATGCAGGAGGCTTGGCAAATGACAAAATTCATGTGAAGAGTGAATATAAATAAACCTGACTAAGTCAGGTTGGAATCTGGGTTAGAGTTGAAAAGTTTCTAAACCTTCGGTTAGGGTAGGGTTGAGGCCTTGGCCAAACCGGTCCAACCCCAAACCCAACTCGTATTCATATTATATAAAAATGTATTTATGTGTATGTATCAAAAAACAGTTTAAAGGATTTTTTTTTAACGCATGATAACGATGTCCTTATATATAATAATGTTATAAGTACTCAATTGAGCTTGACCCTTTGAGTCTAGGAAATAAGAATACTTGGCAAAAGGAAGTATAGATGTTGGGCCGACCCAAATTTTTTCCGGTTGGATTAGGGTTATTAGGTTGGGTTCAACAGCTTGTGTTGGGTGAGGGATGACCTCAAGCTGACCTAATCAGGCCCGACTTACACTAATTGGAGTCATACATCTCTCAATTCATAATGCAGGTAGAGAGTGGGTAGGAAAAGTGAATAGAAAATCCTTAGTGCTATCAAACACTTGTATTTATGACATACTGTGGCAAGTGAGTTGTGCCAGACCCAGCCCAAACCCCGGTGTCGTACCATGCTTACTCATGCAACCAATGTTAATTTTCATCGATTTTGAGCTCTCAACTGAGGGAATTAGAGTAGATGAGTTGAAGGTTTCAGCAGTCCATGAGTTGCCTACACCTAAGAATTAATTTATACGAGATCAAAGGGTTTTCATGGCCTTGGTTTCTTTTTACAAGGGATTGATCAAAGACTTTAGTAGCATCATCGTCCCAATCATAGATTGTATGAAGAGGAAGGAGGAGTTGTAATTGATTGAAGTAGCGTAAGCATCATTCTAATTGATTGAAGGGCCGGGTATCTCTCATTACGATGTCCTAGACAAAGGTGTTTGATTTTGATTATATTTCAAATGGATGTATTGGTTTTTCTTCAAGTTTTCAATCCACTTGTAATGAAGAACACAACGGCGATGACTATTTATTCAAAGACCAGCTATATACAGATTTCTTTCTTTTCCATTGGTTTCTAAGTCCCTTCGTTGCTGTTATATATATTAGATTTGTTAATCTCCGTTGCATCTATTAGATTTCTATCAAGTTAGAGTGGAAGAGAGGTGATGAGAGAGAATTATTCTGTTACAAATTATATGGAAATCTTAAGGCTCAGTTTGGAAGGAGTATAAATACAAATATGTACAGTGCAAATACATACAAAATACAATATTTTACACTTTATATATTTGTATTTGTACGCCAGCTATTTTTATTTTAAAAAATAAAATCATGACCTCCAACACCGCCTAAAAATTTGTTTTTGTTTTTAGAAATCATGATTCCGATTATTTGGAAAGCATGATTTAATTTTAGAAACAAATCCATCCATCTTGTTTTTACTTCTCATCAAAACAAAAATCATTAGAAAAATCCAAAAACAAAGTTAAAGAACGTACTTTTGTTTTCTTTCTTTCTTTCTTTCTTTTTGTTTCCGCTGATGTGGTAATTCTGAAAACAAAACATTTAATCGTTGAATACCCCCTAAATGATCATAACTTTTGATGTTGTTCAATCCGAGGTGGTGTACAAACCGAAGTTGCAGTCAGATAGCCCTTGCCAACATGGTGGAGCCGAGGTTGGAAGGACGTGGCCGCACTTCAAGACCTGTGATCAAGAAAGGATGTTAGAGGCCTAAGGAGTTATCCCCGGGTAGGCATTTTGACGGCCAAGTCAGTAGAAGGTGATGAATGGTCGGGCCGAGCAATGAGGGTGCTGGTCCGAGCAGAGTAACAGTATGAGTGCTAAAAGTTGGAATCCCTTACCTTGAGCGGGAGATACCTTTTTATAGCCAAAGGTTTGTGTTCTAGTCGGATTAGGCTTCCGGGGTTGCTAGGATGAGGTTAACCGTCGAGGTCTTTGGGATAGAGTCCTAATCCCCAGAAGAGTTGTCCTCATTCCTCCTCCTGTTCTTGGTCGTGCTTATCCACTGGTGTGGTTGTGGAGTCGGCATATGCCACGGATCTGGCCGGGTGGTGCCGACATGGCCAAGGTGGCTGGGCGGCCACGTGACATTTAAGGCCAGCTCAACCATGACCCGAACACCACTCCCCCAATTGTAAAATCGAGGGATAAAGTGCTTGGCCTAGGTGTCGCGTGGCAGGGTGCTTTAGTTCTCAGCTGAGGAACTTCAAGTTGGAGTCTTGGTTGAGTGTCTGGTCCACTTAGTATTCCTTGGCGCTTGTTAGAGCTTGGAGTCCGCACATTGCGGGATGCAACTAATGAGTTCTTTGATCATCAACTATGAACTTCGAGAATTATAATTTCGGAATCGAACACCTTTAACACACTATAGGCTTGATTACACTAATAGATGTTTTTTTGTGCATCCTTTCTACCTAATTACTTTTAAGAGTCTTTTTTTCTACAATTACATTTTAAGAGTTAAAGAATCTTACAATCAAGGTTTTAAAAATCGGGTCAGATACAGAACTATTTTGGGGATCGGTTCCCAGGTCGAACAGTCCAACGGTCTGGTTTGAATGAACAACCTATTTTGACTTCAAAATAATTAAAATTTAAAAATGGCCAAAAATCAGCGTATGGATTGACAAGTCAATGGTTCAACCACTCGGATCAGCTGATCATTGACCAAATCAACGGTTTTTGGCCTAGGAGTGATTTTAGGGTGAAAAGAACCGATTGCTTGATTGGTCTCAGGTCAACCGGTTCAACTATCAGGTCCGGTCTAGTTTTCAAAGCCATGCTTAAAACAATAGAGTTAACCCTATGTTTTGTTGGAACCTACTTTTTCTTTCAAACCAAACATAGCCTAAGAGTAGAAACTAAGGCAGTGTTTGTTTGTGGTACATGTAAATGCACTTCTACACTAAGGAATATAGTTTCAATCACATTTAGGAGAGTGTAAATGAGGAGTCGATTATTGAGGTTATAGTTTTACATTGAAAAAATCAATGTTAGCATTGCATAATTATCAATGTAAAAACTTAGATGAATGAAGTCTTACATTGATTGATTTATGATGTATATTAACACCACTCGGCACTATCAAATCTATACTATATATATAAATCAAAGTAGTCCATGTCAGCATGCCTCTCCTCTCTCCAAACTTCCCTTTTTGCTTTCTCCTTAACTTTTCCTCTCCTTTGACCTTTCCACCTCTCCCATTATGCCAAGTTAGCAGCCCTCTTTCTTTCATGTTCAAGATATCACCTCATAAAAGTATTCCTAAAACAGGAACTCTTTTATTACGTTTTTAAAACAGGAAATATGTCATTTTTGAAATTTGAGAAGAGTTAGTTTCTAATGATCTTTTCTTTCCTTCTATAGTCAATATTCCCAATCTCCATTCTTCTTCCCCCAACCAAAGCTATTCCCAATCTATTCCTATTTTTTCTTCTCCTTCCCCAATCGTGAACTACCATGTGTGTTTGTTCACTTATTATTCTTTTTGTCTTTTCTAATCACAAACTATCTTTTTTTCTTATGATCGCTGAATGTTCAAGGGCATTTTTATGAACAAACTACTATGTGTGTTTGTTCTGTCTGCTTTTGTGTTTTATCCATCCATCCCATTTCTTTCTCTCCCCAATCCGACCAAGTCGACAATGATGCAGCGATTATGCAGAAAGTCTCTCTCAAAAATTTCTCTTTTGTCATGGAAATAAAAATCAATATAAGAGGGAACCGCATTGGTTTTGCACATGCATGGATGAGGGGAGAAGAACATAGGTGGGGAACAAGAATTCTCTATGATTTTGAAATAGGAATTAACAATGATGGTTCACTATTGATTCTTTTTTTATTCTCTTTTGTTTTGCAAGTTGATGTTTGTCTTGTAGAAAAAAAAAAAGAAAAAAAATAACTCCAAGGCCCCGTTCGCTCTTCAGTAAGTTACTTAAGTAAGTTTTTCCTATGAAACACTTACCCAAGTAAGTGTATTTACCCATGTTCTTTTATTTCCCAAGTAAAAAAAGGAAATAACCATTTTAACCATAAAAATTCATTATAAAAAGGGGCATTTTTGTTCCATTCAAGTGTTGGAAACTTTCCCCCTAAGTGGGAAAGTTATTTACCCACCTAGGAAATGAGTATCACTTACCCAATTAAGTGATACCTAAGAAAATAAACATTCCCTGGTCTCCACATTAATCTAAAAAAAGAACATGGGATTCTTGGTCAATGGGAACCAAAATCCCATTGACCAACTTTTTCCATCTCAAAATCTAAAAAAAAAAACCGCCCCCTAAATGTTTCTTGGTGGATAGGTTTTTATTTTTCTTTATTGTTGGGTTAGCTTTTACGGTTTAGAATCATAAAAGTTTTAACTATTTATGTTCATTTTATTGAATAATTGATTATAAATTGGTGAAACATGTCTACAGGATGGTGTCTGGAAAGAATTTTCTGATAGGAAAAGGAAGAATGTCTAGAACATCCCACATATAAACTATTCACAGGATTCACTATTTTCTACGAATGACTCCTATTGAGATAATAAAACCATCACAGTTCATTTTTCCCCTGTTTAAATAGCTTGATGTCAACTGCCTTGACCGAACTTAAACAACTTGAAAAATTATCATGGTTCCATTGTTATTTATTTTTCAAAATGCTTCCTAGTAGAACCATTTGATCTTTTGAAAAGACTATTAATGATTCACTTTTTTTTTGTGATCTTGCGTATAATAAAACCACATCTCCCCTGTTTAAATAGCTTGATGTCAACAACAGCCTTAAGTGAACTCAAACTGCCATTGAATTACTACCATGGTTCTACTGTTGAATTCACTTTAGATTTTATCAAATAATCTCTAAATGCAAAATAGGTTTGCTATTTAAATAGCTTGAATTCACTTTAGATTATATCAAATAATCCACCACATATGTTTAACATTAGCAGTTTGGTAAAAGGTTTTGACCTATATAGTATGGTTATTGACGACGGGTAATTTGGCTCGACCTATCAACACCTGGATATGTGGAAGCGACCTGCTGACGGTCTGTCCTGCCGATGTTATCTCAGCGAGCTAAATCAGCTCGGGTACTTCAGATACCTCGGCCAAGACTGAGGTCCGAGCAACTCGTGACGGTCTGTCCTGCCGATGTGACACGTAGCCAAATTCTAGAAGCTAACCAGCTATCTTCGAGCTCTTCGGGATCACGCCGCACATATGCAAGCCTTATCCTTATCTTGCCCGAATCGGATGGAATCAATAAGCCTTATCAGCTAATACGAAATCCACCTCCTAATGCGGAACGAATTCCTAGTAGCATGGATCGGGGATCTCGAAGGTGTTTCATAAGACCTACGGCATTTCACCTATATAAGGGCACCAATCCCAAAGACACAACGTACGTGCATTTATTTGCTCACTAGCCTTTTAGCATACAAATTTTCAGCTCGCACACAAAGTACTAACTTAAGCATCGGAGCACTCACATTGGATAAGCCACTCCGGGTCCTCTGAGCCTTCTTATTTTACAGTTTGATTGTCCAGCAAAGCGGACCAACATCTAAACTGCCCTCCAGCTAAGAGCATTCAGATCGCACACCATCAGTTTTCTCCGTGTTATATTAAATTCGAAGAGAATCGTGGATGGTTGAAAAGTTAAGGATTTTTTGCGTTTTAGGATGGGAATGAAGAAAGAAGGCATTGTAGGTATGTATTTCTACCCTCTTCGTCCCAATGTTGGGGATTTGTTTTATTTCAACTTGGTTTGTCGATCCATCAAAATGCAAGAGTATCCTTTTTTCTTTTTATAAATTATGGTTGAGAAGTTATCCAGTGTCTAATTTTTAACCATAAATTAAAGCAAAGCTTTTGATAGTTAACATTTGAAAAGGGAAATGTACATTATCTAATTTATGGGGCTAATATTTGATGGATTCAATAAAAAGACTGTCATTTATCCACAAACAAAAAACGCAATAGATTATTGAAAGAATTAGATTAGTTTCAGTTGTTTGGTTTTAGTTATAGATATTCAATTGTAAGTAACCAATGTAGAAATCATGTTATCATTGATTATTTGGAAAAGATAATACCACCCTAATTTATATATATATATATATATAAATTCTATTTCATATTTTAATATATCTATTCTTTTATACATGAAGGTTTCATACTATCAACTTGGTTCAGAACCCATTTTTAACTTCTAACAGCTATCCCTGAATTATGTAGCCACTGGCATGAAAAATAAAGAAGAGACAGAAATACAATTTTTTTGGTTAATCCTAATTTTGTGAAGGAAAAATGACAGAGAAAAGTTCAACAATAGACAGGGGAAACTCATGACAATGAAACCCTACCAGGTTACCACTCAATATTTTACTTTTGATATTTTACTATAGAATTATCATATTATAGGATACTTTTGTTAAGATATTGTAAGGGTTATGTGAGATATTTTTCTTTGAAAATAAGATTAATTTGAAATTGTGAGTGCAATAATTTGAAAATAAGTAATAGGATGCAAAAATTATTAACAATTTTGTAGAAACCGATAAAATAAGGTAAATTTTCTAAAAAAAAATCAAAAGCTAACAACAAAAATTAGAACCTTAATTTTTTAAAATTAATTAAAAAAATAAGAGAATTTTTCACTAAAAATAACAATTTTTTAGTACATTAAAAGTAATATTTATTGAGAAAAAATTAAAATAAAAAAGCAACAAAAAATATAAATAAGAGAAATTTAAAAATCAGCAACTTACTTTACACAATTAACTTATTAATTAAAATAAATTAAATAACTCGGTTTTATCAACTTACTCTAAAATTAGTAAAATTAAGTTTATAAATTTTATAAAAAAAAAAGTAAAATTTAAATAATTAAAAAATTAACATAATAAAAAAAATGTTAACAAACTAGTTAACCGCTTTCATCGGTTTGGTATCGGTTTGATCGACTTTTTGAAAAACCGAACTAATCGATTCTGTTCAGAAAACAATACCGAACCATGAGCACCCCCTACCCTACCTCGACAGCCCTAAAACCATTTCCGGCCCAGGATCCCGGCCCCGCTTGGCCCATGGACATCCATCCCTACGATGGGAGCATCTTCATTGTAGCCTAGTGCCAACACATGGGTCGTCAGTCGTCACTCGTCATGGGCCTCAGGGCCGCTCCAACACATGGATCCAACTTTGGATGTTCAACCTGAAATCCATCAATAGGCACATAGGCTAGAAGGATCCATCGAAAAAGGATTGAAGACACGAATTTGTGCGCAACGTGTCAGAAGGAAAGTGTGTTCCATTGTAAGAACCCACTCCTGGAGTCGTAGGGGCATATCCACTTGTTACCCACGCTGTCGAGATTCTATTGAGTGAATCCACATGTAAATATCTTGGCAAGTGCTGATTCACCCTATTCAAATTCAATTTACTAACACGTAACTAATGCAGACAACACGTGTCTTACCTCAAAATTTAATCCCTTTCAAGTGCAAAATGTAAACACCGCTCACCGCTCCGGTCTCTCTAGTCTCTGCTTTAAAAACCCTTCCCTTGCCTGACTCATGTGGCTTATATCTGCTACTCTTTATCTCATACGCAGCAACCATCGAGGCATCGAACCCACTAGCTAGTTAGCAATGGCTTCTCAGAAAGCTATCAACAATAAAACCAACCGGGCTGGTCAAGGAGATGCGGGAGAGCCGCAGGGTAGTAGAAAGATTGAGGTGCATCCTGAGCAAGAAAAAGTGCCATATGTCACCAACAAATGTGATGCAGCAGCTGATACACCCGATACAGAGAGAGAATCTCAAGCTGAGAAAGAACAGCCCACGCTGGAGGAGATGGGCAAGTACCGAGCGATAGCCCAACAGAGTTCCATAGATGCGATCAGGAGAGCAGAGGAGCGATATGAAAAGGCGAAGGCATCGGCTGCGCCTGCGGCGGGACTAGAAGCAGAAGGAACCAAGGAGTCCTCCTCTACAGGGGACGCCACTTCTTATGTGGCGGAGAAGGGTGCCAAAGCCATGGACACAGTCAAGCAAGGAGTTCAAAGTGCTGCAAAATATGCATCGAGTAAGGGTGGCGCTGCCAGGGACACAATTCTGGAAAAAAACCAACAAGGCTATGGTTATGCCAGGGACAAGGCTCAGCAGGCCTATGTTGCCACTAGGGATACTATGGCGAGGGGGGCTGGCCAAGCCAAGGACGCCACCGTCGAAGGCAGTAAGAAGGCAGCAGGGTACGCAGGCCAGAAAGCCGTGGAAGCGAAGGATGCGGCCGTCAGAACAGGTTGGGCTGCAGCACACTACACATCGGAGAAAGCTGCTGAGGCGGCAGAGGCAGCTGCAGCTTACACGGCCAAGAAAAAGGCCGAAGCCGACCCAACAACGGTACATCACCAATTCACCAACTAAACAACTGGGGTTTTAGAAAGGATAAGGTCTGCATTGCATGAACAATTGAACCGAGTTTGAATTTGAAATAAAGTTGTTAGCAAAACATCCTCACGCCTCGTCTCCCCTCATCCACTCCTGTTGTGTACTCTTCTATATATGTCTATCTTTCCGTTGTATAACTCTCTGTAAACAACACACTATATATATTCAATACAAATAAAGTTACAAACCAACACCTAAATATCTATTGTTAGACTGTTTTCATTCCTTCAGCTTAACTAGTCCGAAAGAAGTTATCAAAGATGAGCTTAGCTTAGATGCTTGGGCCTTTGGATGAGAACCTCCACTGCACCACACTTAGCACCCAATATTATGTCTAGGATGTTCAATTTCATAAATGACACTAATTTCATTTAACTTCCTTTTTACAGAAAGAGCTCGGAGCGACGGCCAATGGCGAATGTTTGAGTGGTGGACAGGATATTATTACAGAATTTAAAGAAAAGATAGCCATCCAGATAGGACCAACATGAGAAAAACAGGGACTCGATCATAATTAAAGAAGAAACAGGTTGAAGGTGGAGCTCGGAGTGACGGCCAATGGCGAATGTTTGAGTGGTGGCCAGGATATTATTACAGAATTTAAAGAAAAGATAGCCATCCAGATAGGACCAACATGAGACAAACAGGGACTCGATCATAATTAAAGAAGAAACAGGTTGAAGGTGGATTATTGAATGCTGTTGGCGAAACTGTAGCAGAAATTGCACAAATATGCTAAAAGATGTCGTAGTAGGACGAGCCAGAGAGAAAAGAGTAGCTGCTTTTTGCAAATAGAACGCACATAGAAAGCACATAGATTTATAGATGGAAGAAATATGAATGAATTTGAATTTAAATCGCTATAATGCTGCATAAAAGCAACCATGCAAGGTGTTTGTAATCTTTACAGGAAAAACTGGTTAGTAATACAGTAGAGTGGTTTTCGACTTTTCGTTTGATACAGGCTAGCAAGCTGTAGACCTGCAAACGAGCTTCGATTGCTGCTGGCTTTGACACTGTACGTGGCATGACCTGGCTTTATCTCTTAGTTCTTGAAATGCACGCATTGTTTCCACATCGAATCCTCCAGCGAACTGGTTTTAAACACACAGATGGCAACGATTAGAGATCAAAACCAAGGAACCTAGGAATCAAATTACGAAATTGTTGAACAGGGTTATAATTAAAAGTCGTGTACCTGATGGACTCGAAAAGCAAACCTTACTCCTTGGAGCATCAGCTCCTCTTCCTCGGGACCACCACCAACATTTTCTAACTCCGCGGATACTCTCTTCATGTATTTCATTGCCAGCTTCACGGATGCAAGCTTGATCTGCATCTCAATAAATCAAAAGCAAAACTCTTCAATCAATTAGAGCAAAACTCAACTAGAAGGGTAAAATATCTACCGACTACAATGTGAAAACTAGTAGTTTAAAACAGGAACACCAAAGCACACATCAGTGACATATGTTTGATTAAACGTCAACTGTAACTGCAACTTTAAAGAGGTGCAGCATAAGGTTGGATTATCCATGTAGTCCAGTTCCCTACCTACTAAGCCTAACCCCACTAACCATAATCCAAGTCTGTGCTCAAATCAGCTACTACCTTGTAGCCCGGGACTAAAACCTTGAATCACGCACGGCCCGACTATAAAATCAGGTTTCATATTTTTTTCTATCACTTGTTCACTTATTAGATATTATGGTAATTATGGTAGTTACCTCTACTCTTATAAAAAAAAAAAAAGTGATTCAATCTTAGCATACTTTTCTAACTCAAATAAAAGACACACAACAAAGGTCTTCTAACATTAGGTTGATAGAGTAAGCATACTTCACATGCACCCATCCCCATCTCTTAATCCCCAGTAATGTGTAAATGTAATATGTAATACCCCCGAAAAAAAAAGTACATACATTGGGTTGAGGCTGTTTTCTTAAATTAAAAATAAAAAAGTTAACCAAAATTTACCATATGAATTTTGGGTCCCAAAGAAAATACATCCAAATAGCGGGCTTGGGCCCATTCAAAATTTAACAAATGCCAAACTCAATCCAACCCAAGTTGCACCCCCAAGTATCAACTTCTTTTTTTTCAAGCGCAACTTGTATCATAGTGGAAAATTTTTTGTTTTACTGAACTAGTTTTCTTACAAGATCATAAAATCATATGCATGCTCAGTGTGCTTACTAATTTTCTTTCCGGGTCATCAGATCATCAACCCAATATGCATCCAATCACCCCTAATCATTGTTTATAATAATGTTAAATGTCATTTTATAGAGGATATGTTATATTATAATCCAGTTAGATTAGACAAATCCGATAAAAATAAAGTGCCTTCTGGTTCTGGGTCCATTACATTCGGACCAAGACATTTTTCTCGTCAAAACTGGATCCGGGTGTATTAAAACCTGTCGCACTGAAATGAGTTTCCAGTTTGTGATTCTGTGAAACGTATGCCTCCATACTTTTTTCCATAAATTAATCATCTTTTTTTATTTGTCTGTATTTGCATGCTATTCATCAGGAATAATAAACTTTTTCATCATAAAAAACCATACGACAAAGCATTAAAATATAAGTAGGTCTGTAGGTCCAAAGAAGTATATACGGTACCTGACTAACAAATCCAGTTTCTAGCATCCATTCCGTGGGAATATGAAATCCTTTGTATCGGTTTGTTGCCGTCTCTCTCATACGTGATAGATTATATACTCCATGCTCTAATCTGTTATTATTAGATCAAAAGCGTCAACAGTAGTAACTCGGTGGGTCTCGCTAATAAGACGATGAATTTTTTGTCAATTTGAAGGGAATGGGGAGAAATTTTACTTTTCAAATAGAGCTTGCATTTTCTTGAGTGCTGGGCCGCAGGGCTGGCGACTGTCATCCCTGAAGGAGGAAGCCTCGGCTTCGAGCTTCTTAAGATCACAGTACCCAAAGGCAGCTTCTCGCAATGCGTCGGCCTTGTGCTCCGGCCAATCGAAGTGCTTCAGGACTGCTCTTTCATCCACCTGTTTGAGAAGAAGAAGAAACACAGCCACAGTGTGAGGAGAGATTTTGGAAACTCGATAGGTGTTAAACCTTCCAATGATAGCGGGTCTGCAGAAAGCAATCAAGCATACCAAGTACGATAGTTCGTCGTCGAGCCACTTGACGAAGGGGACTACATCTTCAATGTCTGTAAAAGCCGCATTCTCAACTTCCTTTATCAAGAATCGAATAAAATCTCCTTGAGTCTCCACATCTGTTTTAATCTGTACAACCAACGCAAAGTCAAAAAGAGAATATAAGAACTGTAATTTCAAAAAGAAAACCGTGATCAATCCACTGGGTATAGTATCCCACTGATTAGTGATTCCTAAAGATCTTTAATTTGAACCAGTTTTTTCCACCAAATGAAGTGTTTTCTGTTCTGCCAAAGAAGGGCATTTTGGGAATTAACAGCACTACGGGAGTTGGGGCCAATTTGTCTCTTTTCACGGTTCACGAGTTCCCCAGCAAAGCGGACACCGGACAGTGGACTAGAAAATCTAGAGAGGATGTAAAGTACTAAAGTAGGGAGTCATATAGGCAGATAAAAACAAAAGCATAGGGGTGTTAAGAGTCATTTCATCATTCTTTAATACAGACAGTGGCATTGCTGTAAATATGGAAACGGACAAGGCGGAAACAGAATGGTACTGGCACTTACAGCGAGCAAGTGAGTGGACCGGTTCTCGATTTCGCCGATCATGTTCCGCGCGTTAGCCGCCGCCGGAACTTCCGGTAGCCCCGCCCCGGAGTCCCTCCTTGAATCCCTCCGCATGAGAGAGTGATAGAACTCCACCACCTCCGGAACTCGTCTTACTTTTGAAGGCGCCGCTTTCAATCCCATCGCCGGCAATGGAGGCGGCGGTGGAGGCGGTGGTGCCGCTTTGGCCGGCGGTGGAGGCGGAACTGGAGGAGGAGGAGGTGGTGGTGGTGGTGGAATAGCCGGTTGTTTCGTCTTTTCCGTTGAGTCGATGCTTTCTACAGTCGAGGAAGAACTCGATGGCGAGGGTGGTGCTGACGCCGGTTTTGACGATAACGACAATGAGAGTGACGAGGAAGGTCTAGGCGGTGGTTTTGGAACTCTAGGAGCTCGACTTTTCACAGTAGTACTCGTAGATTCCGATACATCGGATGTTTCTTCTGCATTGCAGCGAGGTTGCTGCACTCTTTCGCCTTCTGCATCTTCTTTCTTCCGATCTGTAACTTCAACCTTCTGAGCATCTTGATTCGGAGCAATGTCCGTCGCTTTCGGAGCCTTCCTCAAGTTCTTCAGTAGATTCGACCTCGCGGACACATCTATTAAGCCCTGAAACCTCTGTGAGGAAGAGCATTCGTCTTCCCCTGTTTCTCTGCATATTAACCTCTTGGAGTCCATTCGATTTTGCTCCGAAAGAGTTCTCTTAAGTTCCGTAATCTCTTGTTCCATTTCCTTCATCTTCTTTTCGCTTTCACTCCGTTCTTCGATGATCTTCGTTCGTAAGCTCTCGAGCTCAAGTCTCAATCTCTCATTCTCAGTTTGCAAACTCTTTCTTTCGCTTTCTTTCCTGTCTTCGACCGTCTTCCGTAAGTTGTCGAGCTCCAGCCTTAAGCTGTCGTTCTCAGCTTCCAAGCTCTCGATCCTCTTCGCGGACTTCCCAAGCTCGGCATCCTTGGACGAGATTTCGCTCTCTAAAAAAGGGACAATTGCAGCGGTCTCCTTCAAAAGCTTATGCTCGAGAAGCTCAGTCCTGAGACGAGATTCCTTCTCGCGCAACTGTTCGACGAGACGAACGAGCTCCGAAACGTCTGGCGGTCGAGGCTGGACTTGAGCGGAAGAGCGAGGGAAGTAGACGCCGAAGGAGCGAGAGAAGACAGCCTTGGGAAGAGCTTTTGCAGAGCTAGGAGGAGCTTTTGCGGAGCTAGGGGAGGGGCAATACTTGGGGGTCTCAGGTTGTTTAGGAGTTGCAGGAGATTTCTGCAACCCCATTGCGGCCTTGACCTTACCTGCAACCATTGTGAGACAGAGCTAAACGTGAGAGCTGAGAGAAGCTCTATCTTTCCCTCCCTCTGGTTCAAGCCTCTTTCCGCTGTGAAGCTCAATCTTCCGATTCTAATAAGTTGGAGCAGAAGACGAAAGCTCCAAACACATCCTTCTGAAACTGGGAAAACGAGGGCTGCAGCTTGGAGGTAGCGAGAGAAGTTTTTCTCTTGTCCTTTCGCTACGAGAGCAAGGGAGATAGAGAAGCAGAATACAGAAAGAGGCGTTGGATAACGTGAAGAGAGAGAAAGAGAGGGAGAAGAAGGCTCAGATGACGAGGAACGGTCTTATTTCTTTTTTGGATCCAAAATTTGAAAAATAGGAAAGGAATTAAAGGGGGTGGTATCCAACGAGCGCGCTCTCATCGGGTATTCAATACGTGGTTGTTTCTGAAATAGTGAATAGTGAATACCGGTTCTTTATGGAATAAAGGAAAAGCTTTTCTGCCTTACATAATACATACCATATCAGTATGTCTGAACTCTGTATAAGGTAGGGCGCGCATCAGTTGCTCAATGAATGAGAGCGCTCTCATAAATAATGGCTCAAAATAAGAAACCAAGAAATAAATGAAGGTGGGAAAGATGGTGAAGTGAAACCAACAAAAGCGACAAGAGACAAGGGTAGAGTACTAGAGTGCGGTGAGGTGAGATTACCGATTACTCCCGTGTAAGGTGTAACGGTAGAGAGTAATTAATCGCGATATTTTGAAGGGAATTGGTGCGAGATTTATTACATTTTGAATTGAGTGATGGCGGCATATGTTGTTGATCACCAGGGACCAGGCAGGGTGGTGGACCGTATATAGAGTATCTAATCTCGTGCACCGTACACGTGAAGGAAGGATAGAAGCTGTTGTGAACCGTTGAGTTACTATTTTATTTGGTGTTTCTTGTCTCTTTAACTTTTTATCTTGGCCCGGAAGGAGAGGTGAGTGAGTTAAGACTGGAACCCTTGCTTAGGAATGGGATGGGGGCCACTTCTTTTACTCCACATCGCGCACCTAAACCACGCTACAAATATGCGTTTACTCACTTCAGTATTCTACTTCTAAACAACAATCTTCTCGCCGGTTTTACCTAGGAGTTTTGTAGTGTAGATGAAAAATTAAGTGATGTGGGTAAAGATGTAATCATGTAAGTTAGGCGGGTTGGATCAAATTTTAGCTCAACTTAGGTCTAATCCTAAGAATTGGACTTAAAGCCTCAGCCCAGTTCAAACATGAGGTCAAACTTAATTATCCAACCTAAATCAAGTCTTCACTAAAATGTCAGGCACTCGGGTTGCGCCTGGACCCGGGCTAGACTTGGATTGGTTAAGAAGCCCAACACTCCAAATTAAAAATTAATATACATTTATGTGTATGTGTATAGAAAAGATACCTGGAATTTTGATAAGTTTAGTGTTAACTTCAACCCTCAAATGTAGAATAAAATAATTCTATTAATCTAAAGAACCGTCAAACATAAAATTTCACCCATCACTATTAGAAATTAATAATATCATGTAAATCTTGCCATACAACCATTAAGTAAAAAATTTCCTTAAAGTTAACTTCCAAGTTGATGATGGGCGAAATCTACACATCAGCCACCTGGTGCCATGTCACCTCAAAGACCACGGGATTTGCATGAGCGACCTCAGAAAGCATCTGCCATTAGGACGGGTCCATGTATCCTCAAGTGACCTCGGCAGATCCTCCACAATTATCAAATCAGAGCCGCCCAAGACATCAGTTCCACTTCGGGCTCCTCGGGATATCAAGTGACCCAAGCACAAATTAACGTTTCGATAGAATGACCCTGACTTGCCACGTCAGCATGGGGGACGCATTTCCCATACAGTTAATGTCTCCGAGATATTCAGGAACATGTTGAGTAACTGATAGAAACAACAAGCGGCTCATTCGAAGAACACTCCCATGAGCCCCTAAGAATCCGCACACCAAGATCCATTACTTCTGAAAATCTCCAGAGCGCCTTGATCATCCCCCAACTCTATAAAAGGGAGGGGGGGTTGCCTTCACCTTCAAGGAGTATGCTCTCTAATAAAGTATTCTTGCTCTCCTTGCTCCCTCTGTTCGGAATTATTCTTCATCTCGTCCAGTTTGGCACTAACTTGACCGTCAGAGCCTCCTTACCTAGGCTCACAACCCAAGCTCTCTGACATCCTCCCTTTGGTAGGGTTCGGGCTGCTCACCGCTCTCACTCGAAGCTCTCCGAGCAGATTGAGCACTATCACAAGTAAAAATATATAACCATTAAAATCAATTAAGTAGTCCTCTACAAAACAATAAAAGAGTCTAAGATCATTAAAAATTCTTTAGCTACAAAGTTTAACATCTCTCAAAATAACTGCAATAGAAACCCAAGATCTTCCAAAATCCATTCAACTTCCTGTTCCTGAAAACAAATTAATAAACTCATAAATTTAGTAAAGAAGTAATAGTTTTTAGATGGATATAGCAATATGCATTTAAAATTCTAATCACCTCAAGTACTCATTATGTAGTGAGATTAGACATTAATAGAACACGATATGCTAGAACTGAAACCAAATGGAGCACCAATTTCATCTGTCAAGGCTCTTAACAATGTTTATGAGACATAACAAGGATGCTGATATGATATATACCTTCTTGTCTTTGCTTCACCAACAATGTCTCATGTAACCAATGGCCTATATGCTGTATCTACCAAAAAAATCAATGGCCTGTAAGTGTTTGTAAAAAAAAGAAGACATATTGGATAATTACTAGATTGTGATGCTACACAGAATAAAAAAATAAATAAAAAAGAAGGGACTATATGTAACTCTTAAGTTAAAAAGGAACTTTAAGAAAGAAGAATGAATATTGAATACTCGTTTTCTCTTCAAGATACTAACAGTGATTTTGGCTACAGCTACAACAACATTAAAAAGAAAAACAATTTGGATACGGGAGAGTACTTGTGATTTGTGAACCCAGACTCAAAGAGGAGACTTTAGTGTTAGGGTTTTAGACTTTTAAGAGGTTTTCACGTTTTGGACTTTTGGGTTTCCTCAATTCTTGTTGCCATAATGCCATTTGAATTAAAGAAGTTGAAACGTCAAGACACAAAGAGGGAAATTGGTGTTTAGAAAAAGAAACTAATTAATGACCAATGAGTAATGGCATTGGCATGTGGCACCTAATACTAAATTAGTAATTTACTAATTAAACAACAACCATTAACATATGATTCAACTATATACATACATACATACATTATATATATATATATATATATGTACATGTATTAGGTTGGGCTCGGGTTGCCCAAGACCTCAACCCGAGCCCAACCTGAAAAATATAAAAAACCCGCCTTTTCAAGCCCAGGCCCAACCTAAGGCCCAAAAAATCCAACCCAACATGTGAAAAAAAAATTGGTTGGGCAGGGCCAGGTTCGGGTTAAGCTCGCCTAAGTTGCACCCCTAGATGTGGATTGGTCTACACCACACTACTCATGTGGGGATCAATATACACCATACTATCTTTAACAATTATTCTAAATTGTGGACAGACCATGTGGAATGGATCAGTCCACATTCATAGTGACGTTTTATAGGTATGGTTCAACATCATACCTTTTGATTCTATGTATCTCATATACAATTTATGAAGTGATCTAAATAGTCGATCATAAATGTCTAACTTTTGCATTTTATATGATAAATAAATTGGAAAAGGCACTAATAAATATTAATTTTTAACAAAAAAGATAATAAAATAATGAAAAAATAAAAATTATTATTTTATTGATAAAATATTAAAAATTAATATTTAAACAAATGAAAAAAAGAGTGGAGAAGGAGTACCATTGAGCTTGTGCTAGAAATAACATTTAAAAAATAATATTTTTAACTAAAATAATTATTATTTTATTGATAAAAAATTAAAAATTATTATTATAAATTTAAAAAATTAAAAAGATTTAAAATTTAAAAAATTAGTATTTTAAATTAATGTTTACAAAATTAAGTAGTGTCAGGCTTGTGCTTGCAATGCCCAGTAGTGGAGAATTTCCAACGGTTAAAAAGAAAGAAAAGTATGTAGGACAGTTGTATAATAGTGTGTGAAAATGTTGTGGACCGACCATATCCATGAAATATATGCATTGTTGAGATTTCGGCTGTGGACGGGGCTAGTCCATGATATATTGTCGATCAGTTCTGTCCAAAACCACCTTGACCATTCCGTGGTGTGGAGCAAAACAACCATCCACGAGATGACCATGGTCTTGCACACCACCACCTTAGTATTCTACTTCTAAACCTACTACTCTTAATGACATCTTCTAAGGGAGATGATGGTCATGTGTCAATTGGTCGTGTGGTGATTGGTTAAAAACAGATTGGAGTAATGCTTCTTGCATCGATGTTACTGAATATCAAACATAGGTCTCCCCACGAATCATTGAGCATATATATTGTCAAAGATTGCTTGAAGTGAGAGAGAGACAAATGAGGATTAAAATTTTCCATAAAGCTAATCGAGGTGCCGATTGGATTGCAAATGAGACTAGAAAAGTTGAGTAATATTTCATGTATCTTAGATCCGGTTCATTCTTTGGGAAGTTACTTATATAGATAAGTATTTCCTAAGGCTGCATTTGGAAATGATGCAAACAAGTGTGAATACAAATATGTAGAGTGTAAAACGGTTCATATAAATTGTAAAATTGGGTTAGTTTTGCACTAACAAATTTACCTTCTTACCAAACAGACTTTTAGCTATAATGGATGCAAACATTAATTCCAATAAAGCATAAACTTTTTTTTTATCAAAAGTCCACTTGAATGCAAATTTACTTATTTTTTATTGATGTACTTTTACATCTTATTATCAATGTAAATATGCATTAGTCTTTCATTTGTTAATGCATAAATGTAATGTGGGTAGCTGTATTTATCTATGTTCTATTATTTTCTAGGCAAATAAGACAATGATCATATAAGCCATATAAAATCATTATTTAAAGAGACAATTTTGTTACATCCAAATATTAGGTGAGGTACATAAAAAAAATAAATTTTCTATAAAACTTATATAAATCTGAAAAAAAAAATACATTAATCATTAGGAACCAAAATCTCAATAACAAACTTGCCGGGCCTCCTCTCAAAATCCAATAAACGAATGGGCCCTTTTCTGGGGTCTCCCTCTCCGATGTTTGGCTACCACCCTCTGTGCCTACCTTTTTCTTTATATTCTACCAGAAAAATAATATTGAAAAAGTAAAAATTATGTTATGACTCGGTCACTCGGATCGAAAATTAAACCAAAATGCTGGGTTAC